GCCAGGAAGCCTTTCTTCCTGTTTTGCTGCCCAGCCAGTGCCTATTCATCCTTCAGGACTGAGCTCAAGTGCTTCCTCTTCTGGGGAGGCTTCCAGCCCCACTCTGTGCACCTCACTCTGGGTTCTCTGAAATTCCACATTCCCTGTCACCAAACTTACCACACTGAGAGGCCTTCCTATGTCCTCCTTCTGTTCTGTGAGCTCACTGAAGGCCGGCCAGATCCGTCTTACTCCCCGCTGAACGACTGAGACCCGTACAGTGTGCGAAGTACAGAGAAACTCAGTAAGTAGCACTGAGCGGACGCCTAGATAGCAGGCTTTCTGTCTCATCTTTGCCTTCTGCAGTTTGGAAATCCACACCACAGTGCTCCTCAGCCTCATCTGGTTTCTCCACCTTCTTGGCTCTCCAGAAGGGGATGATGGAGATGCGGGAGAGGACCCACCCATGCAAAAGCTGGAGGGAGGGTGGTTCACAGGCAGGAGGTGGCTCTCAACTCCCCAGCACACATGGCTGAGGTGACTCAGCGGAGGTGCTCACTGCTAGGATAGGGAGACTCAATCCTGAGTTTCTCCCCAGGGGGTGGCCCTGCTGGTAGCCAGCAGGCTGAGTGGGGCTTGGCAGATCATTCCTGGCAGAAGAATATGCCAGGCCTGCCTTCTCCCCACCCGTGCAGAGGGAGCAGGTGGCCCGGCTGTAGGAGGGGGTAGGGAGGCCCAATAGAGGGGCGTGGGAGAGGAAATTGAAAAAGCAAAACAGGGGGGTTTGGGAGTGTGCGGCTGGCCGGGTGGTTGTTTAACAAGTAAATGTGCTGGGAACGCTAATGAGCTGCGTTCATTCATGGCGAGTTTCCTCCCAAATTGGGGAGATGGCCAGGTTCTGGGGTGGAGGAACTAGGGATAGGAGCCAAGTTGGGGAGCTGCCCGGCTGCTGGGGCAGGGCCTCCCATGATGGGCTGGGGGGGTGTCTTTGTCCTGGTCTGAGGGGGCCCTCCTTCCTTCCCTCCCTTCAAAGGAAAGGCCAGGCTTTGCCAGGCGGTGACAACTTGGCTCAGTGCCTGCTTGGGATTCACCGTCCAGGCTAGTCTGGAAGCTTCTAGGGCAGGGGCTGGCTCTTGGGAGCCGTAGGCAGGGCTGATCTTGCACCCCCTGCCCACTCCCACCCTGCCTCACACCTTCACCCTGCCACCCTGAGGAGCCCAGGGCATGTCGCCTGGTTAATCAACACTCTCCCCTTTCCCCACTTGGGTCCTGGCTTCGGAGGGGCCCTACGAGGTCATGGGGCTGGGAGGCACTGCTCCATGGAGCAGAAGTTTGGAGACCAGATATCTTCACCAGGCTGAATGCTGTCTGTGACAGCCTACTAAGTGCCGGGGGCTGGGATAAATGCCAAAGTGAGGAAGTGAGGAAGCCAGGGGGTTGGT